ATCAATCACATTCGGCATAGTAATCCCCACCAACAAAAAGGCCTTACACTCCCTCCTGTTATTTCTTACCTCCATGGCTGTAACGCTAAAATGCCCTCGCGCACTATCGCCCTCTGAAGAAGTGGGTCTAAATTACATAACAAAATCAAGATTTCTACACGATTTGTGATGCGTATTCGTACTAAATCTACTTTTCGAGTCTGCTGGAGCTTTATTTTCGAAAAATTACGCATTAGAAAGTAAGGAAATATACTTTCTGATGCGTAATTTTTCGAAAATAAAGCTCCAGCAGACTCGAAAAGTAGATTTAGTACGGACACGCACCACAAATTGTGCAGAAATCTTGATTTTGCTATGTAATTTGAATCCACTTCTTCAGAGGGCGATAGTGCGCGAGAGCATGTGGCGGCTCTCCATGACGCCGATAGTTGGTTGGACAAGTTCCACCGGACAAGCGAGACGACCAATGAAAACGCCGCACGCAGCACTACGGGTTCGCGCGGGTACTGAGACAACGACGAGCTCTCTCGTAATTTTCTAGTCCTAGAGAGTTTAAGTAGATGATACGAGTACACGAGAATTAAGTTTGAAGACTGAGTATTGAATAAAGTTTATTATCTTATCCATATCGTGTATTATATATGTTGGGAACCTATCACCCCCACAAGCATTTTAGCGTTACAGCCAAAAGACCGGCATGTCTGCTCTCGGATCCTCTCTGCTATTAAGGCGATGCTGGAAGGTCGGAAAAATTTGTACGAGATCGATAAAGTAGATTCTTCAGTGTCAGTGGTATCTCTAAATGAACTCCTTACAATATCTTCTGGTCTCACTCAAACATGTGGAATGTCCTTATTTAATAGAGTTCCTCTATATCAGAGTCTGGCCATCACATGCATTTTGTCAAACTCAATTGAAGCATCGCGATTGGTCCGCCATGTTTTTTCTAATGACGTAGTATAGTTTAGCGTGATGCAACAGCTTACATCAGCTATTCTGAGCAATGTGAGCTTTTAGTATGTGCAGAAGAGTAACGAGGAAATTATTCTCAAGAACGTAACGTAACGTAATAAATGTAAGTATTACGATAGTAAGTCTATGGCAATGCATAGTGCAATAAAATAAAACAAAATTTTATTTATCTCCTTATTTATGATATAGTAAAAAATATTTCACTTTGCATTTATAGATCGGAAGAGCACACGT